AGGACAAAAATCTGCAGTAATACCTTCTTTACACACCCCCCCTTCCATATATTTTATCGCTAATTTATAATATGTGTATTTTTATGAATAATTTCATATTGCTGAAAAGACAATTCAATATTTAGGAATATTAAAATATTCAATTAAATAATATCTCTATTTGAAATATAATTTAAATATGACGAGTAGCATTTTTTTGAATAGATTGTTATGTTATGAGTTTAAATTCATGATTCATTTCTATAAATTTAACCAAAATAGGTATCATTTATCATTTATAGGGTTCCTGGATTAATAAATAAACAAAAAAAATTCTATTCGAAAAACTTCATAATTTTAAAAATTCCGTTATCAATAACTATATGCCAAAATTAAGGGTAGTATTATCAAAAATTTTAAGATTGATTTGAAAACAACTAAACAAATTGCATTAGTTGTTTTAGGTGATGATTAATAAAATCTGTAAATACCAGAACTAGACTTAAAAATTCTGACTAAAAAAGAATTTATGATTTTCAGAGATGTATCTAAATATTGTGGGTCTTATAAATATGAAACCTTTTATTTATTTCCCCAACAAATTGATTTATTTTCAATCTCATAAATAATGATATTTAAATTACAATACATAGAGATGGGTAACAGTTAAAAGATGAAATAAAAATATTTCAATTAAAACTTATGGATCAATTATATTTAATCAAGTAACAAGAAATTCGACAATTATTAAATTAGAACATTATGATGATAATAATATTAAGTGGCGAATATTGACTATTTAGAGAGACCTAGCTTGTTGAAGGCGTAGCTCAAGTTATAAAATTTACTGTTGTTTACTTGGATGGCTACAAATAGTTTTATGAATTAAAAAATTCAATTAAGTTATAAAGGATCAATTTTTTGAGGCCCTCATTATTCAAGATAATTATTAATAAATTAAAGCAATAATATCTCTGGTGAATTAAATTGTTATTTATTTTATATTATTATGGGTAAAATGTGATCTAAAATTGAGATGTAGGCATTGTTGAAGTTGCTTTGTGTGGCTCATAATATATAAAAACAATTATTGGTCTTCTTCAGAATATCATATAGTAATTTATAAAACATTTGAACTCAAGCCTCACTATTTAGAAAAAATTTCATACAAATTTTGGAAGTAATAAATATAAAACAACATTATAATTCCATTAAAGTATTAGAATCCACTAATGGGACAATTATTAATATTGCTTGCATGCTGATCATCAAATTATAAACATAATCAGATACTACTTTTGCCTCTAATATACATAGTAGTTCAGAATTTTAAGATAAGGTATACCCTACCTCAAGAAGTTTAGAGCATTCTAGCTATACTAAATTAGATTAGAATTGGATACTAGCACAATTTATCATTCTAGCCCTAAATATGGTCGAAGGCCTTGCGCAATCGTAACAGGTGTTTAGCATTAGCATAAATATGGCTACAGGCTCATTTGAAAAAAATCACATCTAAAAAGTGGGATCTTATGAAATTTCATAATAAAACAATTTATTAATAGAGCTTTATCATATTTTAGATGCTTGATAATAATTATTGACTTTATATGAACTTTGATATGATGTAAAATCTCATAACCTTAATTTATATCAGAAAGGTACCCTGTAATAAGATGAATTCTGCTGTCAACTTTTAGGATTATGGTCTTAAGTCGCTTCTTGATATTAATCAAATATCACTATGTATCAAAAGGTCCAGTTTAAAGTTTGCAATAGATTAAAAATTCAAAAATAGGTTTCGTTTGAAAACTTGTAAACATTTATGTCCTGATCAGAATATATAAAGCTTCTACACAAAATAGTTTCGATCGATGATTGATTCATTATCATTATATTTCAAATCCTTCAATGTTATAATTCATATATTTAAATTTCTTAACTTTATTCGTTTTTCATATTTTACCTGATTTATGAAAAGATAATACTTTTTCTAATGTGAGTTAAAATACTCTGAGAAATCAATGTTCTTAAAAGCTGAAGATTCTAAAACTAACCTTTTAAATAATTCCAAATTCAAAAATATTGTTATTAATTTTTAATTTAAGTTAAATTCTATTGTTGTTATGTAAAAATATAAATGGATTAAATTATCACAAAAATTCACTTTATGCTGCTATTTATTTTAATATTAAATAAATAGAATTAAATATTATATTTATTGCAATAATTAATTTATACAAGTAAAGATACAATAAGGTAAATAGTAGAGTGTACAGATAATGAAAATAAAGATTAAATATATCCATAAAAGAAGGGATACTTAAAATTAATTGTTCAGTTTAAAAATATATAGTCAAATTACAGAGAATAGAAAATGACAAATAGAATCAGATCAAAAATAGTAATACCTATAAAAAAATAAGAAATTAAGACTTTTTTTTATTAAGAAAATAACACCCTTTATATATGTAGATTCATTATAATAAAAAAATTACCAATAAAAGAGAAGAATAAATCAATTTGGAAGGGGAACTATCTAAAACAATAGAAAGTAAATGAAAAATAAGTTACTGCAAAAGTTAATTCAAAGTCTCAATTCTCATATGTATTGACAATAAAATTAGAATAAAAATTTACTAATATGATGTGAATCTAGGGAATATAAGTGAATTAGATAATAAAATAAATAATATTATAAATATTCTTAAGGTTCTTTTGAATTTTCTGAAATTTGAGTATTATTCACTTCTAATTTCTAATGACCATATTTTTTCAGTTCTGAAGCCCTTCTCTGAACTTTTTGGTGAGCTAAATGCTAATAGCATTTTTAATGCATTTCTAATATCTGCTATGCAAATATATGCATATGAAAATCCAATAAGTAATCAATGCATAATTGCATGAAAGCTATTTTAACTGATAGATCCGTTAAAGTAATAAATAAGATAATTATGTTTTATTTGGAGTTATTCTCACAAAAGATATCTTTCTTGAAATTAGCCTGATATATTCAATAAAATGGATAATCAAAATAAAGTTCTTATGTTGTTAACATAGTTATAGAATGCATTTAGAAATTTTGTCAAAGATGAGAAAAATAATGAAATTCTACATCTAATTCAGGAATTAGAAGGAATGGCAGCTCTTGATGACTCTAATTTTGATTTAAATAAGTATAAGAATTTATGAATTAATAATTTATAAATTCTCCTGTAAAAATTTAAGTACCTAAAGATTAAACTAAAGTGATTAGGATTAACGAAGATTGTTAAAATAAATTTAACCAAAATTATTTAACATTAGTACTGTATTCTGAAAAGGAATTAGTTCATAAAACAGCTTAAATTAGGCAAATAAATTTTTATAGTGATTATTTGAGGGCTAAATTTATAATCCTATTTTAACATCCCATAAATGGATAGACTTTATATCAATAAAAAATGCTAAAGTAGTACTATCAGAAGAGAAGGATACTTAGCAAACACTAATACCATCATCATCGAATTTGGATTCTAATTTTAATCTCTAAACAGATAGTTATCATCTTCTAATTTATTATCACTCTCTTCCTAGATTACTTACTCTATTCTACTGATTTAAAATTAACTCTACAATTCAAAAATATTTTACTTACTTTAACTCTTTATTTCTCTTCAATTTAATCATTTTTTGGTTTATAAGAATACATTTTGATTTAAGATTTGATTTTCTAAATCTTTTAGAAATAAAACATATTCAAAATATCAAGACTTATTAATAGATAAAAAATATTTAAACTAATATATTAGCATTAATAATTAATAAATTGTACTGATAAGTGATGATGTATAATAAGTAAATAAAATGAAAAATTGCAACCATCAGAAATTGCTTTATAAAACTTAACTTTAATTCAAATATGTGAAGGATGTAAGTTAGTTAATTTTAAGAAATCCATCAGTGTAATAAAATATTATTTATAAGTTAATTTTCAATAATTTTCTACTCAATTGATAGTTAAAGTTATTCGATCTCCAAATCTCAAGATAGTCTAATAAATTCTCTGAATGATAAATTTTACATCCTCCAAAAGAATTTCCAAACACAATCAGCTTTCATCATAATTTTTTAAGAAAGGTCTAGTCATCTAAAGTTTTTTATATTCCTTTTATTTTAACAAGGCCTAGTATACAAAATGATAAAATTATTTTTCTACATTATATGATATTTTAATCATCTAACTTAAGAGTGTTCATAATCGACCCTTGTTTTTTATAAGATTTTAAATTTCTAGTGACCAGGATTTAAAATTCTTTGGAATTGGTTGAGAAGAGAAAAACGTTTGAGGCTTTCAATTAAGTTGTTATCAATAGGTATCTAGTCTATATATTGTATTCCATAAAATTTTGGATTATTACAAGTTTACATATACTCAAAAATATTATATGGATTCATTTTTTAGAGTATAACTCAAGGTTCCAATTTAGGAAATGTATAAAGATTGAAGTGACGCTCTCCTTTTAACTTATACCAAAACAGACTTGTCTCCTGGTTTGAACCTTATTCTACTACTAATCTATTTTAATCTATTACTTAGACTAG